TTGTCAAGTATAGTTAGTTATAAGACGACAGTTGAAAATACACTTGCCTTTCAATTTAGTCATCACATTAGAACTTAAACATTGAGCTAGCTGTGTGACTTTGCAGTATTTTTTTTTCAGCAAAGGTTAAAATTGCTGTACTACAGAGGTCTATTATGTTCTGTTAAGGTCTTCATGTAATGCATGTTATTTTGTTCTGTAAAGTGTTATAAGAAATACAAGATGAGAGGGGACTTGGTGAATCAGGCTTCCAAAACTCAAAATTTGTTATTTCTGCTTATTATGCCTCTCCATTTGTAACTCTTAGAAGAAGTCTTTTGTTTCTGTGAGTTAGGGAGAAAAACAAAATAAAACTTGGATGTTCCACAGCTGAAACAATTCAAAGTAAAAACTACCATTAAAACAATTTCTTTGCAAAAAAGCACTTCCTGGCTGGTGGCTATTTATTTAAGAAGTAGTTAATTAGAAAAATAGTAATTTACAGTCAAATTTTCATTCTTCTGAAGGTGGGAATAGTCATTTTGAATTCACAGTGAAAACTGATTTTTAGGATATTTTTAATTAATTATAAAATATGGAAATAAAACTTTTATAAATTCCTAGAAATTTATAAAGTGATATATTAAAGAGTATAATAGTCATTGAATATGATAAGAGTGTAGAATTGAGAAACGTAATTTCTATCTGAAACTTTTTTTTTTCCCCCAAACAGGGGACATGGGAGTAGGAAAATCTTGCTTGCTTCATCAATTTACAGAAAAAAAATGTAAGTTCAATATATGAGGTAAAATATTTGTAGATTTCTTTATAGTTACTGTCCTACCTTTTAAAAATGTCATTTTCAGTGTCCTCTATGCATTTAAGGAGTCTCTGGGTGGTACAGATTGTTAAGTGCTCTACTGATTAGCCTTTAAAGATTGGCTGTTCAAACCTACCCAGACATGCCTTGGAAGATAGGCCTGGTGATCTGCTTCTGAAAGGTTACACCTTTGAAAACCCTATGGAACCAGTTCTCTGGACACATGGAATCGATCACCATGAGTCGGAATCAAGTCAGCAGCAAGTAGCAGTTAAAATTAAACATGATGGCCTATTTAGAATGCTGATTTTTAAATGCAATATATAATTAGATTTGTTTAGCTTTCTTGATGATAAAAACTTGTGATTTTTTAAAATACATAATATAATGTCAATTAATCTCATTTTATTGCTCTTTAAGTTTCTGTTATACAAATTTTTTTTAAGGGGAAAATTGCTATATATGTTATTTGTTCATTAAATAATAGTAGATTTAAAATATTTACTGTACTTTTCACATACAACACCCATAGCGCACATAGGGAACTGACACATAAGAGGTCTACATGGTTTGCACCCATCCTCCAAAGTATAAAGTGTGCCTTATTTGTGTAAAAATACAGTGAAGTGAAATTGTTTCTATAGTCATTTATGACGAGTGTGATTAAGATTCAAAGTACAACTCAAGTTTGTCTTGGACAGTAGAGGAAGGGGCCATTTTTAAAAAATGTAACTGATATGCAAAATATGGAGTTCCTGAGTAGTGAAGACAGTTAACAGTTAAGCATGGGACTATTTAACTGAAAGATTGGTTCTTTGAATCCACCCAAAGTTCCCTTGGAAGAAAGTCCTGGTGATCTACTTCTGAAAGGATCACAACATTGAAAACCTTACAGAACTCAGTTCTTCTACTCTGAAACATAGGGGGTTGCCGTGAGTTAGACTTGACAGCAACCTAGTTTTTTTTTTTTTAGTGGCTTAAAATAAGAACCATTTGTTCACTCACAAATTAATACACTGGACAAGGCTTAGCTGGCCGTTCTCAGTTGCTCTGAAGTCATTCATCTGGAGTCTCAATTGATGAAAATCCAAGTTGGATTCCTTCAGATTTTTTGAGAACAATAGTGTTTTTGGTGAAAGGTTCACAGCATATTAGGTTCCCGTCTGCCAATTTCTGTACGTACTGTTTGGTGACATTGGGTTACATATTTCACAGTATAGTAACATTATTTCCATTCTGGTGGTTCCATCTCCATTAATCTAGTTTCCCTGCCCCCTCTCCTCCCAGCAACTGGTTTTTTATGCTAAATATATTTGAAAAATTTTTATATAGTTTTGAAATTGTTTCTATGGTATCTTTACGTTTCTTACCACAGAGATTTGATAATAACATTTTAGGAAGTGTCCAG